AGACCAGAAACCCTGACCCGAGGTCAGGCTTTGTTGTTATATCGAGATAAATATTTGTATGACCTTGTTGCCAAGACTGGTTGTGACGTAATATGAGAAGTTTTGAAAATAGGCTGCTTGAAATAGAATGTAGGCCATCAGTAGCTCTAATGGGTTGGTAACAAACACAACTGCTAAATGTTCTGGTCTCCTATATATGTTATCTTGTAGCTAAACTTAGTAGTCTGTCTATTGCCTATTCTGAGTGTAATTCGCGTTCTGGAATACTTTTGAGGTGGCAATGGACCTCGCATATATACTATATTTTTATTTTTATCACAAAACATGTGACGTACACGAGAAAGCAAACAAAGAAGTAAGACACCCAAAGTTTTATGAATCCATTATTTCGTTACACAACAAATGTAACACAAAACATCTTCTTTTAAAGAAACGTGTGTGTTTTGTATCTAAAAAAACATGTTACGCGAGTTGGTAATACGAAACATCCCGGGAAACTCCCTGGGGGCAGTGGGTCATATGTCCCTGACATGTCTTTTTATAAAGAAATACCCGCTAAGGCCGGAATAACAAAAAAACCTATGAAAACCTACGAAGCCTCGTATTCCCTGATGCAATTAAATAGGGACTCGATATGTAGTGTGATTCTGTGAAGCCAGTGGTATCTACATATTGAAGGAATAACTTAATAGCCGCCTGAGGCAGTGAAGTCAATCAAATTGACTACATATTTTTCTTTGTTGTATACTTTTCATATATTATTGCTGATCAAATCTAGTGTAACGTAAATAACAATACATTTGAGTACATTAAACATTTAAATAAATATTACAGGTACCTACTAAAAATCAACTGCTACCTTTTAAAAGATTATGTTATGTACTTTTGTATATCGGTTGTGTAAAATGGCCGTCGTATCTTCCAATACCTATAAATTATTCCTAGAATCTATCGACGTTTTCCGTCTCACCGCTTTATAAGTCTAAGCCTCGCCTGAACATGGCCGTAATTTTTAAAACCCTTAACAGCGTTGTTTGTCTTACTTTGTGACGCGTCTTTTAGTATCTTTATTATCCTTTTAGCTTGTTTTAGAAAATAATATTCATGTTATTGGCTGCCTCGTTGGCTAACTACCGGGCAAGGGGTCTTGTTGGGTTGGATACCCGAGTCGCGCAAAGTATTACTATAAAAAAATCTCAGTAGTAGCATGAAGTCTGGCATTGAGCCCGGTATATGGCAATAGGCTCAACCTATTACATGGGACTCATAACTTAAATAGTAAAGAGTGGGTGTTACATTGTACAGTGGCATTACGTGCCGTAATGTACACCTCTACCTATCCCTTCGCGGGTAAAAAGCGTGATGTTATGTTAGGTTATATTTAATATTTATGTGTAAGTTATAAACTAGTCAAAAATATTATGATGAATGGTTTCGAATTGACAATGTTCTTTTGCGTTTGTACTAAACAAAACGATAAATTTTCTACTCTCGTAAAAATATTATTTTCTATTATCTAACGGTGTATTCAGTAACCTGTAATCATAACTAAACTGAATATATAACTGCGCAACGACTAATTATATTTCTAGTTAATATTGTACTCAAAGAGACTGCTAATAAAAACAAAACACTTGCGCCATTGCAAAAACAAAGCTCCTCCTACAATATGCTGCTATTTCTTCAGACAATATTGTCTAAAGAAATATTTTCGTTTCAAAAAAGTAAATTAACATTTCCTCCTCTTAATTTCACCTTTATTGTTTTGCACAGTATTGTCAAGCTTTAATTACTTTTCAGATAATCAGGCGAGACAACATTATAAAGTTGTGAGAGCTAACTGAACTTTTTAAATTATTAATTAAATTGTTTTGGGTCCAGTTACATTTATATCTAAACTTATTTTTAAAGTATCATGATAGTATATTTTATCTGTGCAGATAATCTGCTATGTTGATTTAAGCATGATTGCTGGACATAAGTATTATGCTATATTATGCAAAATATTTAAAAACATACAGTTTTTTTTAAAGTATTGATTTTCGATCTTGGCAATTATATTTTTTACATGTCCTATGTGATGTGAGCTGATGTTTTCAAAATTGTACTTCATAAAAAATTTAACTTTAGGACGACAAAATTTTCTTTCTATATCAATTTACTAGAATTAATTTGATAGTGTAAGAACAAAGTAATCAATATTATCTGATCTATCATTGTATGAGAAAACCATTCAATGAAAGATCACGTTACACTATAGACTAGACATTATCGTCATCTGTATACGAATCAAAAGGCAAGGATATTGATACCTTTGATTTTGTGAATGCCAACACATAATTTTACTTAAGGGCTTATTAGACATGTCTTTGATTCAACAACTGAAGTAGAAATTATATTGTATTGTCAATACATGACAATATAATATAATAATATAACAGTATTTTGAGGTAGGGTCTTTTGTATTGGATGAAAGCGGTTGGGTAAAGACTGTAGGCTGATATTACATTAGACACACAGATAATTGTTGTATAACACTATTGAGTAACATAAAGAAGGAATTAAATTATTCTACATAATATCTCAAATTTCACAGAAAACAAAATAATTCCTTTATATGCAGATAAACATTTTATCATACTCTATTACAAAGACACAAAGGCTAGAGTACTTGTTGTTATTAAAAAAAAACGAAAAAGGTATTATAATGAGCCTGGAAATAAAACACGAGACTTCTTACCACACTCAAGAAGCTACCAGAATGTAAAAATGACTTCAAGTAATAAAACAATTAAATTTAAACACAAAAGTTCATAAAAAACTTAAAATAAAACCATAAACTGATGTCACAAACCTGAGAGCTACACCAAAAGCACGTATGTACTTTAAATTAACTCCTAATTGCAGGTATGAAATAAAAGCGTAAGCGTAAAAGGTCATTAACATTACTTAGTTGAATATGACCTGCGTTGAACTTTATAAGTAAACGAATAATTCATTGAACTGTCTTATGTACTTATTTAATGCTGTAATTCGTTAATATACCTAAGGATTGTGTATTATATTTAAATAATCTAAAAGAAAATTACACCTTATTTACATTCAATATTAAATTCAAATTAATTATTTTAGTTAATCCACATGGAGGCACTTTTGAAGTGTCAAAATAAAAATAACCACAAGTTTAATTCATTAGTGAACGAGCACGAAACTCCATAGTAGTAAAAACGTGTCATCTTACACTTCGTGTTTATTGGATCTATTTTTTTCCTAACCCATAAACGTTTGAGGTTACAATCCTAAACTAATTAATATATTTGGTGGGTAATAAAAAAATCACCATCTTATGCTCGAACAAACCTAAAAAAGGCAATCCGCAAACCTCGCTTCGAGTTTTAAACAATCTATTCAAAGTACTCCTTTTGCAAGAACATTGATCCAATTATTTCGCGTCCGGAATGCGGCCAATTTCCTCGAACAAATATAATATACAGTCTCTGGGTACAAAGTTTAACGCCCTACGAATTTAGAGTTATTCCAATAGAAATCAACATCTGCTTTCGGCATTATTTCAACGCTCGATGCAGATGATGAATTCCCTTTTTTAATTTCGCTCAGATGGAACAATGCCAACATAAAAGCACTGAAGAGAAATATTAGGGGAAAACTCGTTTTATAAGTCCAAGGGAAAATTTTTGATATTCAAATTTGTTTGATTAATGCCCAATCGAAGTTCTTTCATTCAATAATCTTTTAGGGAAAATAAACAATTTTGTTTTATCTGCACGTAATTAAAATAGTTTATAATGTTGAAGAATATTTGAAGTGTTTTATTATTCTTGAACCTGATAGTACTTGTATAATACAACTTCCAAATTCTCATAAAATTGGATATTCATATGCTCGAGTTATGGCAAAAGTCTCGTCTCTTATTACACTTCCAACTTAACCGATAAAAAATAACTTTACTACCTAACTGTTCGGTGAAACATGCTTACATATTCTGTTAAGTCCCATTTCGTGTGAGAGAAAAAAACAAAGGAACACTATTCACAAAAACTAAACACGAAAGATAAACACCGACACGAAGACTACATTATACAATGAAAAACGAATGAGCACACAAGGAAAATAACTCATTAAGACTATACAAACAGACTAAGAGCAGAAAACAAGGTAACTAAACAAAAAGCGAAGCTTACTTTGGTAAAGATCTCGCGAGGAACGAGCGGCTGCCTATGTCGGTATCAAAGGGGCTAATTAATTAACTGGAGCACTCGTGACGGTATAGAATACGACCCCCGGGTGTTAGCGAAGGTAAGCGCAAAATAGACACTCGTATATCCGTAAAAGGACCGTAATGGGGGCTTATTGTGCACATTTCAGTATTTACTCGCAAAACATACCAACAACCAACGACTCAGTCAACACTCCAAGTGCGAATATTCACGCACAAAGGGAAGGATGATGTTCAACATCGTCAAGAGATGGTTATCAAAATAAATTGTGTCATAAAACCTCACGCGAAAGGCGTTGACTGCAAGATAAAACTCCAATTGAAAAAACACCGCTAGTAAAAACACGTCGTTTTTTTCCTATAATTATTCCAGCAGTACTCTCGCCGAGAACACATTGTAGCTGGCACCAAGTGGAAGTTTCAAACTAGAACAATTGCGAGAGTTTTTGTACGGTTATTGTTGCCGGCATTAAGCTCGTATCGAGAGATGAAATATTACTTACGAACGCACGAAATACCGTAGCGCTGGCACGATATATAAACCCCATTTTTGTTTATGTAAATGTAACGCACCATACTGCGAGATTTCATTACCATAATATTAGATTGCAAGTCGTAATGGGGGCGGAAGGAGTTGATGCTCATAATATTAGTGCTAATAATTTATGGGGAATCACGCCTCAAAACCAAATGAAATTTTAACCGACATGTTTAAATTTCGATTTTTTTGTTATTAATGGTAGTTATAAAAATTATGACTTACCTGTTGCCATGAGTATTTTCCAAACACTTAATTAACTAATAATTAATTTAACACTGTTTCTAATAATACTTTTAACTAATACTTCTAATGAAACGTCCAATTACATTTAAAATCTCAGATTCAAATTGAGAAAGATCTGTACGCCAATACTATCGTAGCGGGGAGCGTAGACCAGGCCGCTACGAGCGCTACGACGCAACTGCCGTGCTACGGCGCGGTCTGCTACGGCTACAAACAGCGACTGCAAATAAAGACAGCAGGAGTCGTTCGGCGATCGACGGAAACACCCGAATGCTTCACGAAGTTCAAAGTTATTTAAGGGCGTTTACAAAGTAGCTTGATTTTAGTCGCAGATTGTCATCATTATGATATGACTTAACTAGATAAAGAATGGGTTGCGGGGGTAACTTAACCGTATTTTCTTAGAAAGCAGTATATCTAGCAGATGTTTTTGGGTTGACGTATCAACAATTTATTTATTTAATAGTGATGTAAAAGGCGAATCATTTTACATTTACAAGGTCGAAAGTAAAATGTCTGCAGAATAATTTATGTCTCGAAATGTTTATTGATCAATGGTATTATTTTTCTTATTGTATTCTGTGCAGGTGTATTCCCTTGCTAAGAATAAACAACCCTATGTCATCCCTCGAGTGTCGTGAGAATAAGGGTAGTACCCACCTGTGCACTGATAAGAAATACGTATTGCGAATTTGTATTCGTTACGTGTTGCGAGTCCTAATGGAAGGCAAGCCACGTAGGACCAGAAATGTGATATGACTGAAATAGATGACGTATTCATCAACATGGTGGAAATTATTGCTTTAGCAAAACAAACGCTGCCTTGACATCGGTTTTTATGAAAGTGTGTCTTATTTCAAGTTACGATTAAGTTAAAATTAAAACGATTAAGTTAAAGTTAAAATTAAGTTTAAATAAATGTTTGACAATTTAGATTGACGTTTTAGTTTAATGATTGATGTTTGAAGGAGTCTTTAATTTAATTACAGATCCAATTACATAGTTTCGATTTATTTTCGATTATTTTAATATTATTCATTACGAAAAAAACACAGTTGACATTTATTAATTAGGCTTATCTTTTCCATTTTATTTAATTTCATTTAAACTTAGCTAATATACAAACACATTTTTTAATTTTTGTAGATTAAAAATATAATCCTCAGCACTCTTGAAAAAAATGCCTCTGAAGCTTGTCAATATAATTTATAGTCATTATGTACACAGATGTGATGTTTATAATTAATATACTAATATACCTTACAGAAACGTTATATTTTCTTTTTGTTGTTATTTTATTCTCCGCACCTTATAGCAGACTTTCTATTTAAACCTTAAGGTTGATTAAAAAATAATGTTATATGGTATTATATTCACATAATATACTACTATTTTTTAGTATTGTTTACATAAAAGAATAAATAAATAAACATAACATAACACCATGCCTTTTATCCTCGAAGGGGTAAGCAGAGGTGCACATTATGCCACTGTATAATGTATCACCCACTTTTCACTATTTATATTATGAGTCCCGTAAATAAATATATCAACAAAAAATATTAAGTTTAAGAAACAAAACATAAATCCCTTGTCATACAACTTGCTGAATGAAAAACACGATAAAATCTGTACTAAATATGTCATTATCTTCTTGGACCGGCCAGATTTAGGCCATATCGTTTTTATGAGGCGTGGTACTTTATCTCACCAATGTGAACGGATTCTGTTGTTCTACTATGATGTTAGAATATTAGAATGTGCAATAAATAAATAAATATGTTCTAGTATATTATATTATCGGTCGTTTAGGAATTGGAGAGTTGAGGATTGAGGGAATGAGGCTCGGGAATCTGGATCAGCTATTGGGGATTGCAAATTGGTGATTGAAGATTGCAGTTTGGGTATACGGGAATAAGGATCGAGGAGGGAGGGGGAAGGAATTATAGCGTGGATTGGGCCTTCGGTAACCTCACACACGGGTCAAAACGTAACGTGAGCGTTGTTTCACGCTAGTTAGTTGATATGCCATGGTATCACTCTAATTAAGGTGATCTATTTGTGATAGGCATAAAAGTTCTGTCACGTTAACACATCCTTCATATTTCTTAGCAAACTTATGAAAATAATTATAACAAGGAAAATAAGATTTCCTCGAAGTCTGTTCAGACCCGTCAAGAGCTCGTACTTGCCGCATAATCACTACGAAGCTTCCACTTAACCTGCTTTGAACATCAGGTTTCAGAAACATTGTATATAATAAGCTACTTGTGTTCTCTGAGTACCTACGTACTAGGTTTTAAATACTTTTATAAAGATTTTGTATGGCTTATTTAGTAAAAAATTCATAATTTCATATGTTTAATTCATGTTAGAGTTGACATTGCGACTGTAAAAATTTAATATAAAAATTTTTAGACTTAGGTATATTACTACGGGTACCGCCACAAATGAAGTATAAGTAATAATAAGTAAGTATTCTCTTGCTACGTGATTGTACTGTGCTACGCCGTAGTAATTGCTACGGCGTAATCGTAGCACATAACGTTCTTTAATAGTTATTAGTCTGTTTACCAGTTTAAAAACGTTTTTAGTTATAGACAACTATTGTAGATTTAGGACTATTAGGACAAGACGAGTATCGTAAGCTTAGTTTTCCATATATGGACTGACAAAACAGAAAGCTTGTACGTAAATAATTCATAAACACATTTGAATCACAATTTTTGCACAACTTTTTGGTAGGGTATCATTTACCCAAATAAAAAGATTTCGGTTAAACCTAAGAGAAATATAAAGTGACTTTATTGAGAGGTCACATCGTCGTCTGTCATCGTTTCGTACATCAACAAACTAAACCGATTGTTGGGTATAACTGGGATTTCGATAATCTGTTTTTGCCCCGCGAATCCGCTCTAACAGATCTGGGCCACTATAAATCATTTTTGTATGTTTTGCGGTTTTATGTGGATATTTCAGTATATCTTGTTGCGATTTAGGATTCAGACGCAATTCTCGTTCGAATATTGTGATTTATTACCCTGAAACAATGTAGTTTATGATACCATTCACTATGGACTGTTTAATTCACTTCACGTTCTTGTAGATTTATGCCGGATCGCCTCAATGTTTATAATTCTTATCTTGTAAGATAGGGTTATACGATAATGCTTTGAATGGTGGTAACTATTTGTACCTATTTTAAAGTGTGTGATGTACCTATATGTATTATTTTAATAATGTGCAATAAATAAATTATATTTTGATGAAGTTTTAGCCGACTTCAAAAAGAGATGTTCTCAGTTTGACCGTGATGTCTGTATTTTTTTTTATATTTGATGGGCCGACGTTTGGCCATGCCGATGGAGCATGTCGTCGTTCCATAAGCAACCTATTCATTCGGGTCTCGGAATGTATGGTGGTCGGAGATTATCTCACAATTAGCCGAACCAATTTTGATGCGGTTTTAAAATGTTTGTTACACACAAGAGAAGGTTATAGTATATTAATTAACTCTTCGAGTACCGGTTTTGTAGACACAATTATAGAACAATAGGTTGCGGTCACCGGTGACCGCTTGGTGTTTGACAGTTTAAAAGACTTAAAAAAGACAGTTGAAGTCGGTTTTTAAACGTAATGTATAAAAGAATCACATGAGTGATACATGTACGTTTATATTAATAAAACACATAAACTCATTTGGTTAAATAAATTCATCTACATAACAGCATATAAATATAGACCATTCTAGTTATAAATATGTAGATAAAGTTTCATAATTCAAAGAATTCATAAAATCCACTTCATGAATGTTCATAAACTACCTACATTAACTTTTACGTATTAATGAGAATATTAATAACATAAATATTATGATAAACCGTAAATAACAAACGAAATGTTACATGAAATATTTAGATTATTGTTTATCTTGAATAACTTAGAGCTTTAATATTATCTCCATAGTAATAATTATGATTTATTCTACAAGTTTGTTATCCTGATATGATTACATTGCTCACCTTAATAATTAATTATTTGTTATAACTTTATAATATTGTTGTTGCTCTTCGTTTATATATTACTAATTAAAATTGGTATGAAGAATTGTAATGTGGAATTTTCATATATGCACTATTTACAGTTGTATGATAAAAATCAGATGAAAAAATCTTTGGATACATAACGTCTTACATAGCTAACATAATTAAGACGTTAAACAACAGACGATTGTTCAAAGTAAAAACTCCAAACAGAAATTAGATTTACTGTAATTTAATTAATTACTTAGGTTTTACACTTCGGGTCTACATAAATTGTGTTTGTTATTTATATTCAGCGACGACGTGACTAGACAAACAAACGCCAAGTTAAAAGGGTCCCGCTAATGTACTTACGTTGAAAAAGGACCTTTCAGTGACACTTGAATAGCATGAGAGAACCCAATATTCTTTTTACCGAATAACCTTTTACCTAGTATCACCAAATCCCCCGCTTTTCCCGAGACAACTCCCGGTTTTATTTAAAAATAAACGTCGATGTAGACAGCGGGTGGTCCATAGTTGCAGTGTGCACGATTGGACAGCGGGTGAACGAAACGCGCCGAAACAAATTTAACTTTCAATGAAACTTTTTCATTGTGTCTCCGTATCCAAAATAAAAACATGGCAACCCTATGCTTACTCTCATTTTACCAATTCTGAAACTGTCCAAGCTTGCGGAGCATCCCGTTAATATTGAACATAATGGTGACACACCTTTTGGATATAAATAGGGCCGGTGTGTGAGACAACAGGCCAAAACATACCTACAGGTATTCATTACATTATGTGTCTAACGCGAGGTAAAAAGGACACCTGAGACTTGACGGAACGACCCCGTTTCACTTTTTTCACACCTACTTTTGAGTTATTCAACTTAAGTACCTGTACACACATTGTGAAACACAGAAACTTACGTGTATTTGCATAAGTTATTTTGGAACGCGAGCGCGGCATATTGCCGTGAATATTTAATGCTCTGCACCGAATACCTTCCGAAAAATATTTCTTTGAGCAACCGAAACACTATTCAGTGGACTACGCCGAGTGAATAAAAATTTTCTCAATAGAAAATGCGTGTTCCGTTACCAGCGAGAGTTTGGGAAGAGGCCTACCTATGTGGAGATGCTTTT